GGGGCCACACACCTCTTCCATGCACATATAAAATGAACCCAGCTCCCCCAGTGTCAGAGTTCCCCAAGTTTCCAGAGCGCCCAGTCAAGCCACGTTCATGGGTTATTCACAGATCCTTTCTCAGGAACCTGAATGGTTCAAGGTTTTTTAAGGCTAATAGGGCAGCTCCACTGTCCATCAGCCGAGGATTAGGCCAAACAACTTGTTTTCATTTGCTTGTTTATTTTTCCCAAGAGGGTGATCAAAACATCTTCTCCCATGCCCTCCTACTCCCAATTCAGACGTTATATGGCAAAGAGGAGGAACTCGAAACCGTGCCTGCTCAGCCCCCGTTCTCCCAGCCCTCCCATCCCACCCAGTGAAGCACACGGCATTACAAACTCCGGCAGCTGGGAGCATCTGATTATTTGTATGGAAATTTGCTCCAAGTTCAGAAGTGGATCAATGGCAATTTCTCAAGCTGGCTCCATTTTGAGAACCAAAATTGACTTCTGGAGAAGCTGCTTGATTTCCCAGCTCTCCCCCACCAGAAAACAGATTATTTCATAGGATGGGGGTGATATAATTCAACTCCAAATAGGTTCTGGGCCTATTAGACCCAAATATAAAACTCACCGAGGCTCCAAGGAAAACAGAATTGCTCTGTGCTTTACTCTTCCTTGTCAGCCCTTTCCTCCCACCTCTGTCTGGTGTAAATCTATTTGCTTATAGTCAATGCGCCACACTGATGTAAATGGCAGCTCACAACATAGCACAGGAGAGACTTATTTTCTGCAATTTAGTTTGCCTGTTCCTTTTCCGTGCTCCCCAGTTTGCCCTATTTCCATTACCCAGCCGTGCCACCTCTTTGCTTTCTATATTGCCTCACTGGCTGCCCATCTCTCTCCTTCTTCTCTTTTTTTTTTCTTTTTCCTTTTTTTTCCCCCACAAAATACTTTTCTTCTACGTTAAAGGTCTTTCACTTGTGAGTGCCTCTCTTTCCCTGCACCAGGACCACATCAGCCACCCATCCCCAACATCTCCTCACCAAGCACCCTCCTGGCCGGGGAGCTCCAGACCCTTTTTTCCTGGGGGGGGCTGAGCTGATCCAGCCCCCACAGAAGGCACACAGCCCAGGATACACACTGCAAAGCTTTTCTCACTCTTTCCCCCCCCAACCTACAGCCCTATGCTCTTTTGGCACCGGCTTATTCTGGAGGAACCCAACTCACCTTTGGTTAGACCCACACCCCCTACCCTCTAGGAGGAGTTTTAATTGACCATTCTGCTGATAAAGCTAGCACGTTGTAAAAACTGCATCTTTACAGGCTGTGAAGTGTGTCAGCGGAGGGCATTCTGCACTGGGCAGGCACAGGAGGATAAAAGAGGCTCAGCTTGAGCCAGGCTGCAGCTCCCCAGCCCTTGCCCACGCCTGCAGCCACTGCTGCGCGCCACCCCCGAGGAATTCGGCAGCTGCGCTGTGCTACCGGAGCAAAGGGCAGGGGATGGATGGGAGGAAGAATGAACCCAGTGACCAAACTGGTCTGATGTGGTAAAACTGACACCGTGTGGGCTGCCTGCAATGGGGCAAGCGGTAGCCCGATGGCATGGGATGGTGGCCAGGCACCAGGCACGTACAGCAAGGTCACCCTGCCCGTGCTGGGGGAAGCAGCGCAACCTTTCCCGTCTGTCTTTGCAGGGGAAATTCTGACTTTCTCTTCTTCCCTGCCTTTCCTCTCAGCCTGGCCTCTCTTGGGAGCGGGATCTGCCTGCAGAACACGTTGTGCTGCAGGAGAGCCGGCAGGAGCTTTGTTTGTTCTTGCCACGGCTGTGTTTAACAGACACTTACGTGCACCACGCTTCTTTCATGCTCCAGCACACAGCTCCGGGGCTGAGGCCCCTTCCTAGGGCCAGGTGATGGTAACGAGCACTGCCCTTCTAGATTTTCCTTTCCCACGTTAAAGGATCTTGGAGGTACCAAAGATTCACGCTGTTAACGCAAATGCCCGGCTTCAGGTTAGCACAGGGCAGCTCTTTCTGCGGGGCCTCCGTAAAGAGGCTTTTAATTTAGCTCTAATAGGGAAGTTATTGTATGTTAAATAAATACTAATTGATTATTTAATATATATGCATTGAGGGTTAACTGCTATGTAATGAGCTCCTCTCCATTAGTGGGGCTGCTAAACGTCAATTAATATGGGTTTTATAATCAATTGATATTTAACACCCCCTAAGTTCCCTGTTTAGACTTAATGGGTCAGCATTTCTGAAGTGGCCAATGCCAATAGTTTCTTTTAAAAATTAAAAAATATTTGTTGGAAGATTTACAACGGGATGGAAAGTTGTGAATCTATTAAAAGCTCAGCAAATCAGCTCCACTGAACTGGACACAGCAAGGCGAGTGTGTCTGAAGCCCAGCCCTGCACGTAGCCAAGACCTCTGGGACAGGGAGAGGGAGCCAGCTGCCCTTAGCATCTGGGGAACCTGGACTTTTTTCTATAGCGAGCTTCCCAGAAAGATGCTCTGTACCATTATATTCTCTCCTTACTCAGAACATTAGGCAGGAGCTGGCATACAGCTGGGTTTGGCCCCCTTATGCTCGTGCATCAGCTGGTTGTAATGTCCAGTTGCACCGAGGTGCACGCTGGAGATGCAATAGGCAGCGCTCTGTTTGGAACTGACTGCCAGATAAATATGAGGGACATGATTTTCAAGGATGACCAGGGGATTTAGACACACAGCTTCTATTTATTTTAATAAGCATCGTGTCTCTAAATCTCCCAACTGCCTTTTTAAATGCCTAATGGCTTAAACTTCATTCCCTTTGCCTCTCCTCCCCAAACACACACAAATAAATCACATGCAAGCTGTTTCTGGTGTACGTCAGGGAGAAAACAAGTAAGTTTCTAATGAAAGGAATGATCATAATGCATTTACGACCATTATCTAACACTATTTCTTGCCTAATTTCCTTACTGGCAGCTTTCAGACAGTTTTCATGATGTGGCAGAGTTAAGCTCAGCTTGCCAAAAATTCAGGCTGGAAGAGATTGTACGTGGAACTGCAGGATCTTGTCCCATCTGAAAGCATCCTCTTTGGGTTTGCCATCTCATCTGCCATAGTGGGAAGCAGCTCATCTTGCCCACATTGAAAACGGGTCAGGTCATACAGATCTAACAGACACTAACATCACAGCCCAAATCCTAGTCTAGACGAGGTCTCCATCTCCCACAATTACATAGGATTTGTAAAACCTGTGGATGTTTGAGTAATAAAAGGCACTACCCAGAGCAGGTGAGAGCAGGGAAATACATTCTCTTACTGCATTTGTACAGCACTAAGACAATGGAGCTCAAAGCATCATTGCAGCTCACAGGCAGCATTATGATGCAGATAATAAAGATGAAGGAAGAACAAAGAGGAATACATGGCCAGCTCATGGTTTGAAGTCTACAGGCTGATTTATGTCATCCGAGGATCTGGCCCAGTTAGGTCTAATTTTAACATCCTTGACAAATTCCCTTTAACAGCAAACTGTCAAAAGGGAACCTTTTCTCCTCCCCTCATCCTTCCATCTCCATGAGCTGTTCCCTGTGACAACACTGTTCTCGAGCAGTAATTGGCAGTATCATTCCATTATCACTTATTCTTAAGGCCTGAGGATTTCATTCCTTGCAATTTTCCTGTTGTACAAATTCATGTCTATTAGTTTAACACGTGTGCATGTGCGTGCATTCATCCCCTCTGTGTGTGTGTGCATGTGTGTGTGTGTCTGGGGAGGAAAACAGTACTTAAAGCTGAAAGGGCCATTGTCTTATGAACCATCCTAAGGAAGGAAAAGAGCTAATTACTGGTGACATGTAGTTATGACTTGCAGTAGGAGGTGCCTCTGGCGTCTACAGCAAACAGTCTAAATTCTCCTTATAAGCATTTTAAATGGATGATGATCCTAATGAACTTAATAGCATCGCTATCCAAGGACAGCATCAACTCATTGCTATCCTATATTTTGCAGAAATAGCTTCTTTAAACAGTGTGCCCCTGCTTTGAACAGTAATGGTTTTTAAAAGTGTCTTAGCACACAAAGGCAAAATCTTTTTTGAAACAGGGTGGAATTGGTTGGTGATTATCACTGAAAAGCTGGCAGCCACCAGCTAACCTTCTAACAATGAAATATGGGAATTTACCTTCATGCTTCAATGCTTGCTATTCAGCTGTCTACCAGGGTCTAAATCAATGATTCTACACCCTCCACTCAAGGTTTCTCTTTCAAATGCTGCAGATATGACCTTAAGTTCATCATCTAAACAATGCAGTTCACGTTTAATTTCATTAATCTAAGATCTTCCATAAAATTGCAATATGGCACCATACCTTTCAAGTACCTTCATTAAAATCCATGTTATTTCTAAATCCTATGCATATCTATGAGGTCATACGGTGTTTTATTAAAATGGATTTTTGAAAGGCTCAGCTCTTTTATCACCAATTGTCATAAGGTAGTTTACAATAAAAAAAAAAAATAACATAAAAAAACTCTCATTGTGTAGGTGATGAACAGATCACTTATTTCTACAAGTTACCCCCGTTCCCAATTTTTACCTTCTTTCTGAGGATTTTACAATTGGAGGGAAGAGAAAAATTATGAAATCCTCCTTGTCCGTGTATTTTCTGCTACTTACTATGCCAAGTGCAGTTACCTTTTTGAAATGCACCATGTCATTCAGATCCAAGGGACATTATTTCCAAGATTTGCCCTCGCATGTCTGCGTGGCACCATGTTCTCAATCTGCACAATGGATTTTTTTTTGCTATTCTGGGAATAATATATTGGCAAAAGTTTCCTTTTCTACTGCATTCTGTTCCCTATCTCTTGTCTATTTTATAGATTATTTGGTATTGTAACAACACTTTGCAAGGCTGGTTAGGAGCAGGGACCTCACGATAGTAGATGCCAAGAGCACAATTGAGGGATCCTGCCCCCAAAAGCCCAGCACTCCCTATCCACATAGCAAGAAACATTTAAGGGAAAGAATTTTCTTCTTTATTTTGTGCTTGCAGCCAGCAAACACAATTTCCTGCAGGAAAGTTCTTACATAATTCAGGCTTATGCGCATAATAATAATAGCAGCAATGCAAAACAAATAGATTAATCATCTCCCTAATAACTGCACATCGAGATGGGCTCTGTTGCCCAGACTCTGCAGAGGCCCCGAGCATGGCTGCCCTCTTGCACCCAGGGCGCCCGTGGGCTCCAGACCCTGCTCTTGCCAGGCTGATTTCCAGGCTCAGGATCGACTCCAGGCTACCAACCCCTCAGCTCAAAACAACGGTGAGCAGAAAGCTCCTGGTGCATCGTGGAGTCTCAGGACTCTTCAGGCATATGGGCAGAAATCCCAGCCTCACTTCATCTTCCTGGGCTCTGCTGGACTTGGGCTGGCTGCTGTCAGTGTGGGCTGCATGTCTGGAGCCTGCCAGAGTCACCGAGAACTTTCCCATGTATACGCACTCAGGTTCAACCCCATACTTCAATTCACCACCGTTGAGGCTGCATTGGAGCAACCACTGCTGCCTCCATAACTGAACTTGCCACGTCACCATAACTTCAGCGCCCACTTTCTTGGTCTCTCCTGGAAAAAATCCCCCTGTATGTTAGTGCTGAACAAAAACAGATCCCTGGAAAAACCTCATGCAAACACCCAAGTATTTAAGTTTTTCCCAAAGGCACGGAGAACACAAATGATGATATCCATGCCCAAGGAAAAATAACATTCCATGGTGTTTCCAGCTCCTAGGCAAAATATTAAGCAGCCTGGAGAGACAAAGCTGTCCCGTGGTTCTGCCCTCGTCCTCAGCACTTTTACTGAGGCTCCAGCAGCAGGCACAGACACACCGCTATTGAGATGTCATTTGTGACAAACCTTCCACAGTTAATATTGGTTGATGACTTCAACCTCGCCTTCCTTCATCCTTCCATAAAAACGGACCCAGGCTGCAGTACGGCGCTCACAGCGCAGCATTACTCTGAAGAAGCAATTACAGCGAGCAGAGCAAGGAACTAAAGACAGGTCACCTAAATGAACTGGGGGAAAAGTACATGAGAAAACAAGAAAATGTCTTCATCACTTTTCAGGCTTCAAATTGGAAAAACAGGGATCAATACAGCAGAACTTCATTTAATGGTGTGAAAAACAATCCGCCCCACGCCAGGCAGGAATCACTTATTGCCAAACAAACAGGCCAATTAGCGCCGGGCCGGCGTGGGGCACAGCCATTCCTCCAGCCTTGGCTGCCCTGGCACGGGTGAGAGGGACAAAGCCACTGGTGGAGGTTGCTCTGAGGCCACACAGCCTAAAAAAAAAATAAAAATTAAGTGGACCATGAAGCAGGAATCGGCTTTTTTTTTTTTCTCCCTTAATTTTTCTCCCTATTCAGTTTAATGATTGGAGAGGCTGCGCGCAGCTGATGCACAGAGGGAGGTGGGGACACATCTCCCTACAGGCTGGGGTTTGGCCAGGGCCTCTCCGCCTGCCTCCAGCACAGCAGGAACAAGAACGATGCCACCAAGCTGTGGCTTCGTGCTGCCCACGATGCTGGGGATGTGCAGGGCCACGCTCACCATGGGGAGCAGGGTGCAGCCACCGTGGGGGCTGCCTCATGCCCTAAAGCCCCCCAGCTCCCATTTACAGGGCACACACAGCCCCAAAACCCTGCCCGAGGCAACGCCAACCACTGCTGCTCTTGGCCCAACGTGGCCTTCAGGATTTTGGTAACAGAGCCCAGCAACCTCCTCGGTCAGCTCGTCCTGCTGAACAAAGTTTTTCTCCCTGAGTACAGAGATGGCAGCTCCTCGCTGCAGCGTGCTGCTCCGGACACCTACCTGAGCACAAACAGCAGCCACGCGGGGGTTTTATTGCCTCTGCTGCCATCGCCGCCGCCAGCATATTAAACAGATTAATAGAAGCGATGTGGAGGGAGTATAAAACATGCCAGTCTTCACCACGGGCCGAGTGCCACTGAAACGCAGAGAGGCTGGAGCTGACATTTGCAGAAGTAACGCCGTGTTATTAAAACAAATTTGGCATGAGGGGAAAATATGTTTGCTTTGCACTTAATAACTGCTACGAGAGCATATTCAAAATCAAATATTTGCAAGGCTGAACATTAGGGTTTTCTCCTCCCCTTCTCCTCCCCCTTGCCAGTCAAAAACCAGTCCTGGTGGCACTGAGCCACGAGGCTGGTACTTTAAACACAAATACAGAGTGGACACGGGGTCTAAACCCCAAATCTAGCTTTGAACTGATATTTGTCTTCAAAAACATAATCAACCCAAAAACACGTGGCCACAGTCTCTGTGTTCACAGAAAACTGCTATGCATTGCAATTTTTCTCTCACTTTTCTTCCCTTCTCCCGAAACATTGGTTGTATTTTCTCCCTTTATTTATTGGAGTGCTAAATGGATTATTTCAGTAATAAATCAGGCCCTTTCATTACATTTTTTAAGGTGTTGTCACTGTTATGAAGTACAGTGTGCCATCAAAATTAAGCTCAGATTGCATTACCCCCTATTTTATGGATGGAGAATGACTTGATGGATTTTTTTCCAGCACCCCCAGCACGGGGTGTCTTTCCTTCACAGAACCACCGGCTCCCCACGTTCACAGAATCGTTCCTCTACGAGTTAAAGCACTGCAATCAGATATCCCTCAGATACCTTTGTATTATGTTCCAAAACAGAGGGATGACATTTCTTTTAGCCCAAGCTAGGTATTTGTGTAAGTGCAAGGAGCTGCTAACAGGTGAGGGAGCGCTGGAGCAGCATCACCTGCGTGCCTGGCTCCTCCTCACCTGCCGGCAATAAATCTGGAGCTGTTCCCCTGGAGCCAGTGCCGTTACCTTCCCGCAGAATTGCCTAAGTGGGACTGGAGCGAGGCAGCCTTCAGCTTTGCTGTGTTCCTAGCAGAGGCTACTGAGCAGGATGCTGATTTCCAGGGTCATTTCTGCTTGACTTCAACGGAGCAAGAGACGATGTTCCTCGCCTGCTGCCAGCCCCCTCGCAGCGAGCACGTGGAGCCTGTTTTGTTGGTCTTCTGTACCCTGCAAGGGACAAATAGCATTACTTGGGCTAAATTTCCAAGCCAGTTTCCATGTGCAAGGCCTTTATATGTACACTTTTCTAACTGGGACTGTGCTGAGGTGCGCAGCCCATGTGGCCGTGACCTCCAGGCACATGGGTTAGGTTCTTGCCACCCTGCTGCTGTGCACAGCTGGGTTTAAGCCATAGGTGGCAATTCAGGAACGACTGTCTCCTGAATTTCCAAAGCACAAAGCTTTTCTGTGCTCCCACTCCGTGCCTTCCCTTTAAATTCACAGCAGCATATTTGTCAGGACTTTTCGAAACCAGAATGTCCCCGAGGAAATGAATAAGGAATGCCTCACCTGCGCATGACACGGCCCTCTCCAACCTCTGCTCTGCTTGCTCCTTCTTCCAACCCTCCTGGCACAAACTGGGAGCAATCCAAAGAAATTAGTGACATTACCCTCTGCCAGCCGGCTGACACTTATGTTCCAATCTTCAGGAAAGTGACTGCAAATCTGCGGTCACGTCTGCCTAGTGCTACAAAAGTAATTTCAGAAAACTAGCTGCTGCACATTCCGGGCGACACTCTGAAAGCAGTGCGTGTCCGTGACCGCTGCTGCATCCCGTGACAGCACTGCAGAGCATTTCATTCGTCTTCCCCAGCGGCAAGACGACAGCCTGAAACCTTAGGTATTATTGAAACCTTCTCCCCCCCAAGCCTGCAGCATCCCTGGCTGCCCCGCTCGGGACAGCCGTGCCGTCGGCTCCACGCACCGCAGCTCCCCACCAGCTCTGGCCATGAGCACGGCACTGCCAGGAGGTGCAGGCTGGAGCCGGACCTCTCCACAGCCAAAAGCTGCTGATTTTCCCCCATTTTCAGGTGTCTCTTGCTCATCACATGGTGCATGGTGAGCGTGTCCAGCCCCACGCCACCTCTGCTCGCAGCCCCCAACTTCGAGCGTCCACTGCAGACACAGCACAAGGCCGAGCTGCTCAAGGAGTTAAATGTATTAAGCAATTTACAATTAATATAGAACTCATTCCAGAGATATCTACTAGAGAGTACAACAGGGCAATTAACCCACTAATACACTAGGCTATTACATCGCTATGTCTCTTATTTTAGCCTGAGGTGATTTGAAACGCATTGGATTAAAGGATATTACAGGAGATAGCATGAAAAATAGCTTAATGTAATGAGCCATCCCGTGATGTCTGCTATTAAAGATGATTTGCAGTTGAAAACTACAACATACAGTAGTTCAGCCATTTAGAAACACGAGTGTCTTTAACCCTTTTCTAGCCCACGTCCCTTGGAGGGATCAGTGCAAGGGTCCCTCCTCTCCCCCCACCTTCCCTGCCTTTATCCGAGGATTATCAAATGCACCTTATTAAAGCACAATGGTGTCACTGGGAGATTGGTGCCTGAGGTTGATAGAAAACCAGTAATCTGCTAATAACTTTTAAAAATAGATCCCCGAGAGAGTAAATAGGCTCAGGCCGAGGGAGGCTATTTGACTGGCGACACGTTGGTGAAATGGGAACTTGTAACAAATTCCTATCCTAGCCTTAGGCCCGTCATATCAGTTCAGATGGTAGCTCAGACAGAGCTGAGAAACAAAAGTACCTTATCTTAAAATCTCAGTACAGCTTAGCAGGGGAATAGCAGCACCCGGGTGAGGAGGGCCCTGCAGCTCCCAGGGGTCCCTGCCTGCAGAGCACACCGACCTCCTGCTAGGCTCCGGCATGCTCGCTGCACAAGACCCAAACAAAACTGACACTTATTTGCCAAAAAAAAAAAAAAAAAAAAAAAAAAAAAAGTCCCATGTGACCCATTAAAGATGTTCTGGGCAGTTGGGAAAAAGTTGTAAATGCACTGCCATGTAAATGCCCTGCCTGCCAGACGCTGGGCAGAGGGCAGAGTGCCACCAGCCTGCGGCGGTGGCAGGGAGGACGTGGTGGGGCCTCTTCCTAATCAAAGAACTTGTCATTGTCACTTTGGTGCTAGCAGACACCAGGGACAATCACCAGGACCCTGTGCCGTGGAGATGCGTTGCTAACAGGCGGCGCTCATCGCCGCCCGGCCCTGCTCTGACGCTTCCCTTTTCGCTTTACTCCGCATCCCAAGCGGCGCGGGGAGCTGTCACCTCTCGTTTCCATCCCGAGGAGCGAGCGGCTGGGGAGAAGGGGAGAGGATGACCAGGTCTCCCTGACCTTTTCTCCTTCAATTTCGTTCCTCTCCTCGGCGAGGAGAAGATGGCAATCACGCTAGGTGGAACCGACAAACTCATCTCCGCGTCGCTCCCCTGCGCGCACAATCGCCGTGTCACTCGGCATCAGGGACGCGCAGGCGGTGACGGGGTTAGGGGCCCGTGATGGCCCTAATCTGGGTGCAGGTTTAAGCCTTCCTGCTGCGCCTCGTGCTCCAGCGGTGCTGGCTGGGGCCGGCTGCTCCCTTGCAAGGCCTGGTTACACGAACAGCAGTGGTTGGAGACCCCCAAGTGGGGTCCGTGTCTCCCCGCACCTACAGCAATCCCCCACAAGGCAGGAGGCGTTTGCAGCTCCTGAGCTCACCAAGCGTTTCACACCACTTCAGAAAGGAAACCAGAAATATCTCAGGGTTATACCGTGGTGATGGGGAAACTGAGGCAGAGACAAGCACCGGGGCTGTCCATAGCCATGGCCATAAGGGTGCCAAGCACCCAGGTCCCAGCCCCACTCCCCTCTGGGGCAGTTCTGTAGGTGGGTGAGGACAGTGTGGGATGGCAGCAGACACCCAGCAGCTCCCCCTGCTACAGGACACCCACCCCGTGCCACCCCAAAGGCTGCTCCCAGCAGAGCCAGCCAAAAAAACCCAAGGAGAAGGCAGGAGATGGCAGCGGGGTACTCCTGGGAGTGGGCACAGCACTGGGGGGACAGTGGTCCTGCAGAAATAGGACCCAGACCAAGGCACTGCCAGCCTGCCGATGGACAGAGCAGTTCATTAACATTCCTAATTAGTAGGAATAAACTGACCGGACAGGAGGACTTTGCAGCAGGGCTGGCATCTACTCACCGGGGCTTTGCATGCCACCTCCGAGCCCAACTTTTCAGCTCTCCTCCGCCTCTGGGTGCTGCTCAGGGTGCTCGATTTGGCTGTCCCCACACTGACACCCCAGACTGGGACCAGCAGTGCCGTGGGTGCCTTGCAGAGATGTGAGGCTTGCAGGCACGCTGATTTGGGGGGGGTGGTTTATGGTAAATTAGAGATAGCACGCGAAGGGGGATTTTTCTAAACCGTTCTCAGCCTGCGAAGAGCAGAGCACAACACAAAACCATTGGAGAGAGGAACAAAGAGCAGATAAGACATCGTTTTAGTCAATTGTAACCAGTTCCAGGTGAGATGTGGTTTGCAGGACAATGTATTCCTGGTCAGCACGATGCGCGCCAGCTGAGTGCTCCCGGTACTTGAATGGAAACACGCAGGAAGGCAAAGGGGGAGTGGAAAGAAGCAGGGGAGAGGATTCATACAGAGAGAGCTTTCTACAAGAAAACTCCCTTTTTTGGAGGGTAGGAGAGATATTAGTTGGTAACAGAGAGAGCATAGATTTTTGCACTCCTATAAATCATTATTACTGGAATGTCCCCGAGGGGATGAGAAGAATGAATCAGTTACACACACACATACACACACACACAATGCCAAACTTTCTCCCTATTTTTTTTTTTCCTCGAAAGAGAAAAAGGAAACAAAGACAGGAGAAAGGTAGAGAGGGAGAGAGAACAAAAGCAAAGGGAGAAGGAGGAAAAGAAAGGGAAGAAGGGAATGAATGAACTTTGGAAGCAATTTATAATTCCTTTCACCTACATCATGAATTGAACATGCAAAAAAAAAAAAAAAAAAAAAAAGGAAGGAAGGAGGGAAAATATTCCGCCCAGCATGCAGATTATCATTTGAAAAGATTCTGTTGCCATGTTTTTGTCCCTGGGTGATGAAAATGAAATTGTCTGATGTGTGCGCCGTGTTAGATTTACCTTTGCAGGGTTCACCCACAATCAGTAGAGAGGGGTCATGCCACAATATGTCATCTCACAGCTCCATCACACCAACTCCAATTTATACGAGGAGGTATTATGCATTTCAAAGGAACCCCCTGCGCGTGGCTCTTGTTACTGATCTATATCACAGCTCAGCTGAGGGAAGATTAGTTCTGCTGCAAGGGCAACGAGACTTATTTGTTTATGATTATATCCCCCTTAAAGACGCACCATTCCTTTTTTTAATGTCTAATTTTAAGTGTGCGTTAAAGGGGCTGGGGAGGGGGGGGTGGGAAGTAAAAGGTGAGAGAATTCTGTACTCTCCCACAAGGAAACCTAATAGTCTTAGTCTCCCATGCATCCTGCTCATTAAAAAAAAAAAAAAAAAAAAAAAAAAAAGAAAAGAAAAAAAACTCCATTTAAATGCAAATTTCAGTTTTAGCTGGGGACTCCCCCAAAAGCTTCCCTTGGAAGCACCAGGGAAATAGGATTCAGAAACCTAAAATGGCTGACAGCGGTTGCACGCCGTGGAAAACGCTTTTCCCCCCCAAGCCCCCTCCCCAGCCCCGGCCCCACAGCCCGGGCAGCCCAGGCGCAGCAGCGCTTAGCGCCGCTCTGCGCGCCTCGCTTGTTTTACCTCGGGCAAACACCACCCCAGCGAGCTAAAACTGATAATATTAGCCTTTCAACTCCTGCTCGCTGTTGCTTTAATCAACGTTTTCCCAGAAAGTCGACGGTTTTGTCCCCGATAAAGGCTCTGGAGGATTTAATGAGGCCGCCGAGCGTGGCAGAGCCCAGGAAGTGCCGCGCCGCTGAGCGATGCTCCCTGCGTGCCCCGAGCAAGGTTTGGGTTTTGGGGGGCTCCAGCTCACAACATGTGCCCAGGAGCAGCCAGCACTGATGGGAGATCCTCTTTGGTTTTGGGGAGGCCACATCAAGAAACTCCTGGAAAGTTGTCGGAGCGGAGAGGGAGATTTGTCTGATGGGATGTGATACAGAAGGAAGCGGGGTGGCACCGCGCGGCCCCACACGTGGCTGTGGGGACACCAAAACCAGCTCCTGTGGGACCACATGCCACAAAGTCAAGGCAAAGGCTTCAGTCCAAGGCACGTAGGGCAAAACACAACGTGCATGCTACTGTCACTAGAAAATCATAACCAGTGTCTTCTAAGGAAAAAAGCTGAGCAACTTGGCACAAACAAGGGGCTTGTGACCATTCCTGCTCCCACAGGCAGCTGCTGTCCCCACTGTCCCTTTGCTGGGACACCGAGCACAGATAACAAAGTCCTCCTTATTCTCAGAGACCAGCCAAGAGCAGACAACTGATAATTGCTGAGGATTTATTAAGGTGGAATCATCCCCTGGCTGTGCGTAATTTCATTCCCCCACCAAAAGGGCGCTTTGCAGAAA